GGGGCCGGGGGCCGGCTGCCCAGCCGGGTGCTGGAGTTGGTGTTCTCTTACCTGGAGCTGTCCGAGCTGCGGAGCTGCGCCCTGGTGTGCAAGCACTGGTACCGCTGCCTGCACGGCGATGAGAACAGCGAGGTGTGGCGGAGCCTGTGCGCCCGCAGCCTGGCAGAAGAGGCTCTGCGCACGGACATCCTCTGCAACCTGCCCAGCTACAAGGCCAAGGTGAGAGAGCCCCGGGCCACACCGCTGCCCCCAGTCCCGCTCCCCGGCGTCGTTCCCGGTGTTTCTATCCAAGCTTCTGAGTCAGACGCCTCGCCTCACCAGCCCGCCTTTCCACGGCTCCAGTCAGTACCTTCCTCACCTCCCCCCAACATCAAGATTCTCTTTTCTTTGGATCGAAGTTCTGCTCCTTAACCCACCCCGCTTCCGTGATCCACTTTTCAAACAACTAGGTAGTTTGCATCACTCATTCCACTTTTGACAGCTTTCCCCGTTAAAGACAGACCACCACTCTTGCACCTTTTAATGCCCTCATCCTCATTTTCCCCCTGGCCTCCAAATAGACGTCATTATGTTAAATAATCCCCGCTACCTTAACAGGGGCTTAGTTTCTAAGTGTCTAGTTTGCTTTTACTCCACGTTTATCTCATCTTTTCCAAACTCTGATTTTTAACCTTTTTTTTTTTTTTCATTATTTTCCCCCAAGTTCTCTTTAGTTCCCTCCACTATATTTAAGGCTCACAAGTGGGTGTAGTCCTAGTCATCCTGCTCACTTAAAGATACAGGCCTTTATAGAACATCCACGGGCACCACTTAACATACCGCTTTGTCCTACTGTTGTTGGCTGTTTCCTTGCTGACTTTTTAATAGTTCCACATGGATGGCGTGTCTCTCTTCTTCTGTTTGTCATCTAAGGTGCTGATTACAGTTTCGCTGCGTCCTTTTTTTTTCTCCTAGATTCTTGTGCGTATTCCGCCCGCCTTCATATACAAAATAAAAATGTCAAGAACAGGTTGTGGTAGGGCTGAAAGGATTCTCAGGCCATATAAACAAAGGGTCTTGGCCTTGGGTTCAGCTTAATGGTTAACAGCTGTTCAGTATAGCAGTCAACCAAGATCATATATAAGAGAAGATAAAGTCTGATTGCAATGTAGTAAACATAATAAATGCATTAGTAACTAAAAGGATAACATCCTTTTTTTTTTGTTTTTTTTGTTTTTTTGAGACGGAGTGTAATGGCATGATCTCGGCTCACTGCAACCTCTGCCTCCCGGGTTCAAGCGATTCTCCTGCCTCAGCCTCCCGAGTAGCTGGGGTTACAGGCATGTGCCACCACACCCGGCTAATTTTGTATTTTTAGTAGAGATGGGGTTTCTCCATGTTGGTTACGCCGGCCTCGAACTCCCGACCTCAGGTGATCCGTCGGCCTCGGTCTCCGAAAGTGCTGGGATTACAGGCGTGAGCCACCACGCGATAACATCCCTTTTTTATAGTAGCTTGCCAACAGGGGTCGGAGTAAGAAGTAAAAAAAATTTTTTCATGTGAAGCATGTAAAATTTATACTTCTATAGTAAAACTGGTTTTAGTTATAGAAGACAGGGAACATTGCCATTAAATATGTCAACTATCAAGTTGTTTCTCTTTTCTTTTTTCTTTCTTTTTTTGGGGGGACGGAGTCTCGCTCCGTCGCCCAGGCTGGAGCGCAGTGGCCAGATCTTGGCTCACTGCAAGCGCCGCCTCCCGGGTTCAGGCCATTCTCCTGCCTCAGCCTCCTGAGCAGCTGGGACTACAGGCGCCCGCCATCACGCCCGGCTAATTTTTTGTATTTTTAGTAGAGACGGGGTTTCGCCGTGCTAGCCAGGATGGTCTCGATCTCCTGACATCGTGATCCACCTGCCTCAGCCTCCCAAAGTCCTGGGATTACAGGCGTGAGCCACCGCGCCCGGCCTCAAGTTGTTTTAAGCAAAATAACAATAATTTACTAGGACTATTTGTGCATGGTGGCTATTCAGTGGATACTGGTTGTAATTTATATAGGTGAGTGCAGATTATTGGAATTTTGTCCTACTTTTATAAATGTGTAGGTTTCATAAATTTTATTTAGTTTTTATTTTTCCATAAAGCTTATTGTTTTTACTTATTTTAAACTAGGAGTTTTTGTTGTTGTTTTTGAGACAGGGTCTCACTCTGTCTCCTAGGCTGGAGTGCAGTGGCGCAGTCATAGCTCACTGCAGCCTCAACCTCCTGAGCTCAAATGATCTCCTTAGCTTAGCTTCCCAAGTAGCTGGAACTACAGGCATGTGCCACCACACTGGCTCCTTTTTTATTTTTCACAGACACGGGGTCTCACCTTGTTGCCTGGCTGGTCTCAAACTCCTGGGCTCAAGCGATCTTCCCACCTCAGCCTTCCAAAGTGCTGGGGTTACAGGCTTGTGCCATTGCACCCAGCCTAAACTAGGAGTTGTTGTTTTGGTAATTGACTTGTAATAGAAATGTTCACATGATTCAAGAATCATATTATAATATGTAATAGATAATGTGTAGTGTGAGTCAAGCTTCAATAGAAGCAAAATAATATCAGGCAAAATGTTTTCCTTTCATCCTTGTCCCCCCCGCTACCCAGTTCCTCTCCAGGTATGCAACCTGTGTTACGATTTGTATCCTTCCAGAGATATTTTAGGTTTCTGAGGTTTTTAATACTTTGCCTTTCTGCTGTGTGCATTATAGATGTTGTAGACTTGTACCAATCACTGTTCATTCACACATTGTAGGACTTTTCTTGAATATTTTCAGGATAAAAGATTAATTCAAAAGGAGTCAAATAGTCTAGCAGGAAAGTCTTTCAATCTAGTAGAGGAGAAAAAAATGTATGGAAAGAACTGTTAATGTGTGGTAAAAACTGCTCCTTACTGTTACAGACATAAAAAGGTATACTGGAAGTTCAGTGAAAGGAAACATTTACAAATTGAGTGGAGGACTGGAGAAGATTTGAGGTTGAGGTTATATTTGAGCTGAATTTTAAAGATGAGAAGGAGTTGAATATTTTAGGAAGAGGAAGTACTCTGAACAGAAGCAGTACAAGAGGAAAGTAAAAGGTTTGTACAACATATATTTTTATTTAAAAAAATGAGTGCCAGGCACTACGCTCAGTTTTGCAGAAGCAATGGCAGATGAAAGAAACACAGACTCTTATGGATGTCTTGCCTTATGGAGCTTACAGTCTAGTAGGGGAAATGGGATATTAATCAAATAATCACACAGATGTAAAACTGCATCTGGTATGGTGGTATGAAGGAAGGATACCTAGTGCTCTGATTGTCAGTAGTGGAGGATTTAACCTAGGTAGAGAGGTGAGGGAAGGCTTTCTCAGAGGAAGTGATCCATGTACTGAGATCTGAAGGATGATAAGTAGGCCAAGGGGAGAGAGAACGGCCTTCCAGGAGGGACCCTTATGAATGTGAGGGATGGAAACTACGTCAATGTGGCTGGAGCACAGAGCAAAGGTGATGCTGGAGGCCGAGACGGGCGGATCACGAGGTCAGGAGATCGAGACCATCCTGGCTAACACGGTGAAACCCCGTC